GTGGAGCACCTGATCGTGGCAGGTTTATGGTGAACTGATGCTCTTTCCATTTCCGGATAATGGCCCCCACAGTGCTCACACGAACATTCAGCATTCTGGAAATGCACCTATAACCATTCCCATCACAATGCTTTTCAACGATAAGATTACGAAGATCTTGAGAGAGTTCTTTGCTTTTACCCATCATGGAGTCTTTCCTGTGTGCCTTCTGGGTAATGAGGAGCCTTTATAGGCCATCAATTAGGACTAAAGCAGCTGATATCAATTAGTACTGATAGGGGACAGGATTTCTCTATCAATACTGACGGATTTCAGGTGATCTCCTGGCTTTCTATGTCATTTTGCCCCCTGTTATCTTCATGTATTCAATACTTATTCCCTGTGTCATTTCACTTTATTTATTATGGTTTAACTTGTATACTTCAATGTTGTGATTTGTTTGTATGATTTCAATATTTGGCTTGATGGCAACATCTGGTGGAAATGTTGTGTCAATAGTCCACTTAGAAATCCCCTTACTGATAAAAATGCTGATGTGTCAAATACTTATTTTCCCCGCTGTAACTACACTGCCCAATGATAGGAACACGATCTCAATGCCGCTATCAAGGCATCATCAAGCACCTTGAAGAAACACGAGTTTTTATCTCTTTTATTTGAGCATCCAAACCCATTCCTTAAATGCATAGTGTCTTCCCTCAAGCATATCATTGCCTTGGAGATAGAGAAAGCACTAAGAAAATTGCATGTGAACTACAGCATGGTAGTGAGTTGCATTAATTATTCTATTATTTCTTCTTTTCTTTTTTTTTTCTTTCTGGCTCCCACAGTTTTGTAAACATCCCTAGGTGTAGTTTGTGTACAGAGGGAGTCCCTGCAAGAGTTCAGTTCTTTCTCTCAGATTAATATGCCTCTAATGCTTTGAGTCACAGAGACTTGCTAAAAAGACCCACCTCAGTGCTTTTGATTTGTTTGCTTAAAACGTTATTGAACTTGTTACTCTCATCACGGTGTGATTAATAGGCAGATTTTCAGGAAAGATTTCTTCTTAAAAATGAATATGTGAAGAGTATATGGAAAAGAGGGACAGTGGAGGAGGGAGATTTTCAACAAAGCTCTGTTAGTTACTTGTCGCTCCAGGGGCCTCTGAATTTCATGAGCAGAAATGCTCGCTCTCACAAACTAACCCTTGCTCTGTCTTCTCCTTTGACCACACTGATTATTCACGATCAATAAAGTATTTTTGTCTTCTCTCTTGTCTTTTCTGGGGCATCTAGGATGCTGCAGGCAAGGTGCTGGACCGCTGGACCATCATGTCCAGAGAAGAAGAGATCATCACCCTCCAGCAGTTCCTGCGCTTTGGTGAGACCAAGTCCATTGTGGAGCTGATGGCCATTCAGGAGAAGGAAGGTCAGGCAGTTACAGTTCCTTCTTCCAAGACAGACTCCGGGATAAGGACATTCATTGAAAGTAACAACAGGACCCGTAGCCCAGGGCTCCTTACACATCTGGAAAATAGTAGCCCATCCAGCATCCACCATTTTGAAAATATCCCCAACAGCTTAGCCTTCCTGTTGCCCTTCCAGTACATCAACCCAGTCTCTGCCCCCATGCTTGGCTTGCCCCCCAATGGCCTCCCAATGGAGCAATCTGGTCTGCGGCTCCGGGAGCCCAGCCTGCCAAACCAAGGAGAACAAGTGGAAACCAGCGAGTCAGAAGTGTCCCTATCACCATTCCGCACAGGTCCAAGTCCTAGTCGTGGAGCGCTGGGAGCCATTAACAACAACGCCGAACCCAAGACAGAGCCCAACAACCGGGCATCTCCCATCTCACCAACCCCTTCCACCCAGCAGGCTCAACAGCAGCAACAGCAGACACAGCTTCAGCAGCAACAGCCACAGGGCCAACAGCAGTCCCAAAATCAACCTCAGCAACCTAACAGCTTGAGTGACCACCCGGTCCACCACCATTTCATAAAGGACGAGCAGTCAAAAACAATCACCCATCCTTCCTTTTCCTCCAAGATGCATCGCATGCGCCGTATGGGAGCCACCTCACGCAAGGGTCGCGTTGTCTGCAACTCTTGTGGAAAAACCTTTTATGATAAAGGCACACTTAAGATACATTATAATGCTGTACACTTGAAGATTAAACACCGTTGCACCATCGAGGGCTGCAATATGGTGTTCAGCTCACTACGCAGCCGCAATCGTCACAGTGCAAATCCCAATCCACGGTTGCACATGCCCATGCTGCGCAATAACCGTGACAAGGACCTCATCCGTGCCAATTCTACCACTGGCACACCTGTCATCTCGAGCACCAAGAACGGTGGTTTCACACTCACTAGCCCTGGAAGGCCACCACTGGGCTTCACCACTCCACCTGTAGACCCTATGCTTCAGTCGCCTCTGCAAAGTCCACTGGTGTTCCCCTCCTTGAAATCAGTGCAGCCAGTTCAACCAGTGCCCCCATTCTACCGAACACTACTGTCCCCTGCAGACCTTGTTAGTCCTCCAGTGTCACTGCCCACCAGCCCCATCATGCCCACCACTACCAACAGCACTACTCTGATGGACCAGCAACAGCAGATCCTGGCTGCTGCAGCTGTGGCCTCTCATAATAATGTTCATGTGTCAGATGCAGGACCCATGTCCCACCGTTTACCAACACCTAGTGCCAATCACGACCTCACCAATGGCAGCAGTGACCCCACGCCCAAAAAGAAACCTCGTAAATCAAGCATGCCAGTAAAGATTGAGAAAGAAGTCATTGATGTGGCTGATGAATATGATGACAAAGACGATGATGACGACGATAACATGCACCATAATCACCACCATCACCAGTCATCTCTTCTTCACAACAATGTCAAAATTAACGGAAATTGTAATAGCAACAACAACAGCGCTAGTGGAAATGGGAACCACAGTGGTGGAAGCGGGCAGCAATCCCCTTCCCAGGATGAGATGAGCCCTGGTTTAGCTCTGAGAGGAATGATGAGACAAAGCGAAGATGAATGCCACGAAGGAAATGGTAGTGACAGCAGAGGTGGAGCTGCTGATCTACGCTGCATGGACAGCTTTACCTCTGAGGATCAGGACCACGAGAGAGACTTTGAGAATGAGTCTGAAAACTCAGATTCAAAGATGTTTTACCGTGATGAGCTGATGGATGTGGAGGATCAGCAAAAGCACAGCAGGGTTGGAAGGAGACTGGAAAAGGAACAAGATGATGAGGGTAGCGAGGAAGCTCATTTGAGAAAGGAAATGGAAGGAAAGGGCAACTCCTCACCCTCCCCTCATCACCCTCCCATCAAGATCAAAGAAGAACTCAACGATCCAACTTATGACATGTTCTGCATGGGCCAGTATGGCTTCTATAATGGGGGCATGGCAGCGGCTGCTGCCACTGCTGCAAGCATGGCTGCGCTTCACGAGAGCTTTATCACTTCGATGGGCTATGGTTCCAGCCCACCCAAATTCCTTTCTTCTCGATCACCAGAGGAAGATCCATGTTCAAGTCCTGACCCCAAGATCTGCTATGTCTGTAAGAAGAGCTTCAAGAGCTCCTATAGCATGAAACTGCACTACAAGAACGTGCACCTCAAAGAGATGCATGTGTGCACTGTGGCTGGCTGCAATGCTGCTTTCCCTTCCCGGCGGAGCAGAGACAGGTTAGTGGCACAACTTTGAAAAGTTACTATATATTTTTTAACATTGGCAATCACAGGTAGGTTGGATTCTTATCATCTAATAATTACCTACAGTAGGTCTAAGGTTTTGTTTTATAAGGATCAAACCGTATTAATTAAAAAGACATTGTTTTAAAATGTAGTTCAGTTGTTGTGAGAGATATTTATTTTCATTTCGTGTTAACATGAAATGAGAGTGAAGATGCAGTATTTCAGTACTATATGACATTATCCTCGTTGGCCTCCACTTAACATCTGTTCGCTAACTTGAAACTAAAATGGATTCGTGAACATCTGCTCAGTGTCAAGTCAAAGTTTAGAAAAGCAGGAACACATACACAGACATTTAAACACACACTACCTATCAAGCTTCCAGCTTCAGTGTGTTGTTTACCTGCCCTCACTACCTCACCTTGTCACCGGGAGATGAAGGCGCATACATTAACAGACAGCGGTTTGTCAAACCACTGCATTTATTAGCGCATTAAAAGGTGAGGCTAGCTTTACTCACATGGGCTTGTTAGCACATATCAGTGGCACACATGAACTGTGCATGTATGCAGTAGAAACACTGACAGGTGGAGGTACATAACGTCACTAGTGTCCTGGTTAAGGAATGGCTCCCAGGAAAAGACAGAAATCTTTTTTGCCACAACTTTTCAATTTTAAATTTAACGAGTGGCTTTTATATACAGGTTGAAATCATTTTCATTATACATAAATATCAGCGGTCCATGAATTCATATTTCTGGTGACTGAAAATTGGCCAGTGAACTAATCAACTATATTCACTTGGGCAAGTTATGCACTCATTCAAAATAAAGTATAAAATGACCCTTAAAATATAATTCCAACTCTAAAAAAACTCCAGCATTTTCAGTCTTAACCAGTTGCATGCTTTCATATACTGTATCTTTGATAAAAACCCATCTGCTATATATACCAGGGTTACTCGTTCTGTTCTGCAATGGAGATAGTGATGGAAAACGTTATTATCCAGTATCCGCAACAAGTAAAGCTGACTGCAATTGTAAAATTCATTCTTTCCAGAGGGACTTTTATATTTTTCCTCACAGTTTTGTCTCTCTCACACAATCCCTTCATCACTCGCTCTGTCGCTCCACCAAACTCTCCCCTCCTTTTCTACCCTAAGCTGTTTCTGTGGCATCTGTTCTGAGCACTTTTTGTTAATTAGCAGCATGTAAATAAGGCAAGAGATCCTGGGACTCTATTAGAATAGGTGTGAGAGGAGAACAGAGGCAGGAGAACAAGAGGCAAGTTAGCGTCCGCAAAGGTGCAAACCTGCTGCTTACCTGATGCAGCTGTGCAGACAGCAACGAGATGACAGAACGTGTTATCGTAACATGCCTTGGTGTGGTGCACTGCCACCAGTGAGTGCGTTAGCTCCCTTCTCCTGCCCAAGGCAGGGCTGTTCTGCTGTGCAGCATTTGCACTTTCACACGTTCACACTCTCTTGCACACATAAGGGAATATACAAATAGATAAAAAGAAAAGTATTTGCTCTGATACATATTACATCTAAGTATTTAACCACTTAATGATGCAAAGTGTATGACAAAAACAACCAAGTAATTTATCTGAACTTTCAAAAGCTGAAATAAAACTTCACAGACCTTTTATTAGTGGAATCTAACACAAGAAAGTGCTCTGATTTTAAACAGATGTCACAGAAGTAAGCAAAAAAAGAAACCGTGCCACTGATAATCTGCAGATATTGCCCAGATTTTTTTTTTGGTTTTTTTCATTGTTTTTTGGTCAATTATGTAATTGAATCCCTTCATACTGGAATTTGTTGACACAACCACATAATAGTTTTGACAGCAGACGAAAGACTTCTGTGAAGTAAATGAGGTGACAACAGTGAGGAGAATAATGAAAAAAACAGGAGGAACGCTTGTGTGGGGAAGGTGTCTTTTCACAAATACACAGTTTGATACAAAAGCCTGGGTTGAATTTGGTGCTATAACAAGCTCAAAGATGACTTCACAAAGAAAAGATAGCATCTATATGTGAACTCTTCCCTCTTCCTGTGTCAGAATGAATGTGTGCATGTGTGTGTGTGAAACAGTGTGACACCAACATATACAGTAAATGTCATTCCAACACATACATATATACGACAGAGATCATTTGCAGCAAGGACTAAGTAAAAATAGTGCATCTAAGCCAAGGGTGCACAGTACAGCTGTAGATGTGTAATACACTATTATTTCCATATTTTTCCTGATAGCATGTGGGGCGAATTACTTTGCCGCAGGTTCAAACAGGGAATAAAACAACAGACAGAAGAGCACCGCATAGCTCGAGAAATCCTTGAGCTTTGAGACGAGTCAATACACAAGTCGTGCTCTCATCAGATCTGTCCCTGGGTAATCCTTTAATGACATAATGTATGTTTGAGTTTAATGGTAGCAATAAAACGGGAATATAATTTAGCTGTTTTCATCAGAGCATTTGCTCTGATAAGATTAAGAAACTGCACGTACAAATGTATTTGCTCAAAATAATATCTCAAACATTTATTACTAGTAAATTTAATAAGTCAAACTACATTCGTTCTCCTAATTAGATTTTTTTATTTTTTTTATGCAGACACAATCGGTAATAACAATTAATAAGCAGCTCTTTCGGGTGGTTCGCGTTAGACTTGCTAAAACAATACTTAACCCACTGCGAAAAATAAGCAGTGGTTATTTATTTATTGCTTTACAGCAGAGATTACGACATGATACAGCAACAGGAAAGTCCTCTGCATCTGTGATAAGTCCACTCACCGAGTGAAAAGCCACATGTGTGTAAACGCAGCATCAGACACCAGTATCAAAAGCTTGTGCATCAAAGTAAAGAAGAAAACAGAGGTGAGGTCATTTGATCTGCAGAGTCGATGACACTCAGAGCAGGATTCAATGCGAATGCACCACCACATAAAAACACATCACTGGTGTTCAGGCAATGTGGAATAAACAGCGAGACATACAAATCCACATGAAAACATCCCTGCTCGTGGATGCTGTACATACATATTGAACAGGATCATTTAAAGTGCCCTTGAGCAAGCATGTAATGTGTGTGTTTTTAAGTGTTAAACAGAGCAATATGCAGTGCGTGTGTGCATATGCGTGTGCGAGAGTGATTTTAAAGCGGGGTGTTTTCCCTCAGCCTCCTGGCTGCCTGCTGCACGGGGGTAAATGATTGCATATTTATTGTGGGGAGTGAGCAGCGTCGGCACAAGTGTTGAAGAAGCTGCATAATTAACTGCTTGAAAGGCAGGTACCAGTAATCATCACCATTATTAGCCTTTTTAATCATCATTTTTATCTGGTGACAAGATTGCCGTACCTTTCTTTTTTCTTTTTTAAAATAAAAATCAGCCCACGCTAGTTTTATTTTAAACCTTCACCTGAAACATTTTAACCTGCTCCTTCTTTGTCGCTGCAGCAAGCAGGTGATCTCCCTCGTTCGCATTCCCATGGTGCAACCATGCGCAGCACATGGTCCCTGCATGGGCCACTGCAAATGGAGAGAGTGAAGGTTAATTATGTTGGAGAGTTTCTTTCCTCCCCTCTTCTTCCTCTCTCTGTCTCCCTCCTTTTCCCTTGGTCCCCTCACAGCATGTGGGCCTGGCTCCTCCGCTCCACAATCAGCTCTCTGTTTGTCTCCTTATAAACAAAGGGCATGCTGCTAATAGAGAGAATATGTTAGCAAAAGCCACTTACATTAAACTATCTGCTGAATAAAAAGCTTCAAGCATTACATCCCCTTGGTTTATACTGACAGCTTAATTGTGATTCATTTTGAGGAGAATAAAGGGAAATTATTTTATTCTTAGATGAATAACACAGAGACGCCCATGCAAGCTGACTGTCATCATCAGAACGAGTTCTAAAACTGCAAGCGATTTCAAGCTGAAACATGAACATGTACAATAAATTGTTGTTTTTATCTGGTATCAAATGCATATTTAATTTCCACTCACTCATTTCTTCAGGAGTACTCAAAATCATTGTGTGCAGCTTGCGCCGTTCGAGAGGCTGGAGCTATAACAGTGACAGAGAGTGATAAATGTTACTAAAACTCTTGTCCTCCCACTTACACCCAAAACCTCATAATGTACCCCAAATGACAGGAAAGACAAAGAACCACTGGTGCCAGTTTAATACCACTCAGCCTTCTATCTCATTTACACATTATGAGTCATTTAGACAAACATACACACGTGTATATACACACATAAGCGCTGACACAAAAGCAAGGGCAAGGGCCATCAGATGAACCTAAAGATGATTAACGCCGATTGGGACAGGCACACTCTCACTCTGCCTCCTCTGCACAGTCAAAAATGGGCTCTCTGGAGGCCTCCCCCGTCTTTTGGGCGAAGATGAGACTGTCAAATTGGTTTGCAAGCCACATTACTGGCCAACAGGGAGGTGGAGATGGAGGAAGGAGGGAACTGAGGAGTTGGTTTTGGGGGAGGAAAAATAGAGCACAGTGAAGAGGAGTGATGGAGGTGGAGGGACGGAGGGGAGTGGGAAATGGGGCAGAAAGTCTAAATCTGATAAATGAAGGGATGAGGGCATTATGTCCACTGTGTGTGGATTCAGCTGACTTATGTTGAGTATTTAGGGCAAGGAGGCACTGCAAACAAAAGGGTTAAATAATAATGAAGATGAACTTGGCTCTTTTTCTCCTCTACAGTTCTTGTAATTTTGTAAATGGTTACAAATGACCCAAAGTAACAGTTTAATTTATTTGAGGATTTCAGTAAAATGGATAAGATTCTAGTGGTAATTGTCAATATTTTTCATTTAACTGCTATAGCTTTAAAGAGATTTGGTGTAGCTAATTTTGCAGTCTACTTACTGCATGTATGACTAGATAGCCATGGTTAATTTAGAGCTTATTAGCAGTGAGAAGGTGTTGTAATACAGATGGAGACATGTTGCAAAGGACCTGCCTACCTGAGCATCATCAACAGCATTCTTAACCTCAGGCTTAACAGAGCAAATCTGTGTGGCCCCTCGTCACATCTCAGTGTTGGTTGGCACCCTTGCACAAACTGTGGCCTTTTTCCCGATTACACTGATCACTGATTACAGCATTTTTTATTTATTTTTTTGCTGTACGCAGAAACACTGTGGTCTCTCACAGACAAACATCCACACATGCGTTTTAGAGACGCAGACATTGAATCACGACGGCCGTATTTTAGCCATTAGTTAAACGCCAACTGCATATTCAAAGGATAAAAAAAAAGAACAAGGGATGTATAAAATCTTTTTGATTGCAGGATGTGGAAAACGGAATATATTTTCTGTTTTTCCACACGCACAAACAGAGATAGGAACGTGCAAAGACACACACGGTCACACACACACAGTGAGAGCCACAGCCAATCGATTTGCCACGCTCTCCACAATGCTGACGATGCTCGAGTGGACGGGCTCCTGGTTGCTTGGTTCACAGAAAAGGGTCCCTCAAATGAATGTATTTTTACCTCTTGCAGGACAATGTCGGATAGGGAAGTAAATAATTAAAGGAAAGGGACCCTTTTTGACTGCATCAACCCTGCCACTGCTGGTAAGCTCTACTATCCATTGTGACTCCATTTTCGCCCGTCCTGCTAAGGACGACCTTTTTTTTTCTTTTTCTTTTCAATTTTTGTGTTGTTTTACACACATGTGCCCTCCCTGCATGGAAACCCTTCACATTAAAGGCACTGAGTGATTGCATATTTTTATTTTAATTAATTGTTGGCCTGATGTGAGAAGAGAGGCCGTGTGTATGCTATATTATGGCACTGGTAATTGGGTCCTTAAATTTCTTTTCTGTGTTACACAGTTTTATTGTGACGTGTGTGCTGTTGGTCCCCTTTCATGGTGTCACTTTGCAACTGTGAAATACGAGCTTAAAGGGAATAAATAGAATAAAGGGAATACATTTGATTTTCAAGCCCATTTCACTTTGCATCCTCTAGCATGGCCTTGTGTGCTAACTGAAATCCCCACTAATTGTATCCTGGCTTAAGCATGGCACTTGTTACTTGGTTTCCTTCATGAGCTGTAGCACCTTGTTTTTGGAAAAAAATGCCCATCTTAATTAAATCCAAGGCTACATAAAGACATGTTCATTGAGGTGCTCGATTAAGCCACCTCCAATAGGGAACGAATGCGATAATCCTGTCAGGGCCTAGTGCTAATATGCTATCCAGTTCCCCTCGATTATCACATTACCACAGCTCGAATCAATTGATAAACTCCCATTCAATATGGTGGAGTATTTAATTGAGTCAGACTCTATTGGATTTGAGGGCTGTGCAGTGCAGACATGCTGACAGTGGTAAACACTAGCAGGATGCTCTCTCTCATTGCTATGTTAGTACACTTTTTCAGTGGAGAGCTATCGGATGGATTTCTGTCTGTGTGTGGGCCTTTTTTTGTACCTTTCCTGACAGAAACAATAATTACAGACAGAGTGCTTCCAAAGATATTGAATCTTCTAAGCTTGGCACCATTTCACAGAAGTAAAATAACTTGTATCTAAAATATATGACTGTAAATACAAATGCGTGTATTTCAACTGTGTTCCTATTTCTATTTGAGATGTAATCTACATTATTGATATACTGGCAGCATTCTGAGTTATATCTCTAATTGTCCCCCTGCACATTAGGCACAGCTCCAACATCAACCTGCACCGCAAACTGCTGACCAAAGAGCTGGACGACATTGTCCTGGACCCCCAACTCACGCCACTGCCCAAGGACCTGCGAGCTGAGTTACTGGCCAAGATCTACGCTGGACACTACATGGGCTTGGACCCCATGGCCGGCATGGGCCTCGGAGGTGCCAGTCTCGGGCCTGCCGGGCTGAACCACATTCCCTATTCCCCCATGAGTAATGATCATCCTCACCATCCTCTCAACCAAGACTTTCGAAACCACCACACCAACGGCTTCTCTCGGAGCCAGCCAGACGACTACATGGTTTTGGACCTGAGCACCACATCCAGCGTTCAATCGAGCAGCAGCATCCACTCCTCACACGAGTCAGATGAGGGCAGCGATGAAGGCATCCTATTGGATGATCTGGAGGAAGAGGGAGAAGAGGATGAGGGCAACAGCGAGGGAGAGGACTTCTCCCAGCGTGCCATCGGGCGGGCTGATGGGGCATATCGGGATGAGATGAGAGAACTAAAAGATGGACAAAGTGAGGGGTTGGACCCTTCCTCCTCACCATTCCTCCTTTCGTCCTCTGGAGGCAGTAATGGCAGCAGCAGTGGGATCCTCTGTAACATCTGCCACAAAATGTACAGCAACAAAGGGACCCTGCGTGTGCACTACAAGACTGTGCACCTACGCGAAATGCACAAGTGCAAAATCCCCGGTTGCAACATGGTGTTCAGCTCTGTACGCAGCCGCAACCGACACTCTCAGAACCCGAACCTCCATAAAAATATGCCCTTCTCTACAATAATAGACTAAAGAAATGACTTGTCACTCTGCCCTCCTGTCAGAATGCCCGCTACTCCCTTCATTCCTCATCCTTATTCCTCCTCAAATTAGCTTTTAACCCCAGCCCAAGACCATCAAATACAAGCTAAATGCCTGTATGACCGTCCTTTGAACGTCATTGCGAGACATTTCTATCTCCATGTATAAAATTAATTGACTCTAAATACAGTTTATTATTGTGTCCTTTGACTTTTCCTTCTTTGGAAGAACAGGATAACACTCTAGAGCATGGAGAGTTGTGTTTTCATAAGCCCCCTCCATCCTTTCCTTTTTAACTTCTCCCACTTTGTGTTTATTTCCATCTCCAAAGGATCCATTCAAACTCTTATTTGTGACTTTGCCTTCAGATATGATAGTATTGAAAAAAAAACTTAAAATGTTCTCGTTGTATTTGTGTAATGATAGCTTTTAAATGAACCCCTTACAAAAGCATGATAGCTTCATTTGTAAATAATGTCCCAAAAGGCTTTTGGTGTAAAAGAGTTGTGTTGATGGTTGTTTGCTTCTTTTTTTTCTCCCTTTTTGGGATTTTATGTTACAGTCCAGTAAAATACTTCCAGCTATAGGCAAGAAAGCGGTAGCATCTTACTAGCTTGACTCATTTATGTTAGCTTCAAAGACACATTTTAAACTGAGTCCTAAGGAAAAAAATGAATATCACGTGACTTGTTTTATCTACTTGTTAGATATTCAGAGGTTGCCGGCATGCTTTTTTAGGCTCCTACACTGATATCATTCTCTGTATTTCTATTGATTTTTTTTTTGTCTGTTATGTTTATGAGCTTTAGTATACCAATTCAGTTTTTGCACTTTGCATCTATACAAGGGGATGTGTAATATTAATATAATGAGGATTTTTTGCAATGCTGAGTTTTAGGTGTTGTTTGGGGTCATCGATGGCTGCGGTGCCAATGGAAGTGACAGTACCTTCAACATTCAACTTGTGCCAGTTTCTTTTTGCACGCGTTTCAATGTCAAACCCAGTTTGATGACAGAAAACATCTCGCCTCCCTGAACAAAACCTGAGATCTGCCCTCATTGCTGAACCATTTATTCAGAAGGTGACAAAAGTGACTTCAAAACAAAACCAGGTTTGATCATTATGAACTGCTGTTTCATAAACACAAGGGAGTAAATATTGATAAAGTCTCTCTTTCCTTAAAAGAAGCAATGTGGGGTTTAACGCTTGCTTTCTGTAGAAGAAAGCATGTTAGTCAGTGCAAGAGCTGGTGTTTGTTCTTACAAAAAGCATCCTAATGGAACATACAGTCCCACAGATTTAAAAAAAAAAAAAAGGAGAGGAAAAATGAAAATAGTCCTTCAACTGTGACCAAAAGATAAGTGTTTGCTAAGAAAAGAAAAAGAAAAAAGAAGCTCTTTCAGTGTGACATTGTACTTAAATCATGCCCTGTTTGATTAATATGATGCACTTGAGTCTTAAAACATTTTGCTGTGATATTGCGCCATTGGTTTCCATTGCTGAGCATAAAAATGTTGCCATGTTTTGTTTTGTTTTTTTGGCTGTTAGTTGCACCGATTTGTAACATGTCCATGAGTGTCTTACGGTACAACTATTTCCAGTAATTGGGCAAAGTAGCCAAGGGAAGGGGTATTTATTAGAGGGTGATGTATCTCCATAGAAATGTTTTTTGTCCGCTATATTTTTCTTTGTAAAAAGACAAAAAAGTAGAGATCGTTCCTCAGTTTGACTTATTTCTCAATGTATTAGCAATGCCATGTGTTACTGTACAAGGAGATCTACTCTTACTTGACTGGTGCTACACACAGTGGGAAAATATGCAGTGTTATGCGGTGTGCTGTACAGTATTCACAACACCTTACATCCATAACAGTGCTCAGTTCCACTTATTTCATACTTAGGCCATTTTGCAATACAGACATGACCTATTCTATTGAAATATTTCATGTCTTTTTTAAGACTCCACCCATATGACACATGCAGTTTTTAGTTCTCTCTTCTCAGAGATAAAAAAGCACGAGACAGAGAGAGCTGAGTCTGATGGAAAGGTTGCGGAGGTGGGAGGCTGACTAGGGAGGAAAGGATGACAGAAACGATCATTAAAAATGTGCTGTTTCTCTGTTACCTGGAGGCGTCCCGCCATTCCTGCTTCTTCTGTCTAATAACTCACTTGTCACTACGTTACACTGCCAGACGCCAAGGTTGCTGACAAGACTGTGACACTGACGGGAGAAAAAGAAGAAAGAGCGTGCTTTGAACAATTTAATTTGACTCATTCGCTTAAGTGTAATTCAATTCATCTGATCATTTTCTTTGCACGCTTATTCTTAGTCAAGGTCGCCGGTAATTCAATTCCTTTCTCTCACTCTGTTTTTCTCTTTGTCTGTCAGAGCGCAGGCATTTAACAACCGCCTTACCCATTTCTTCAATCCGCCACTCACTTACCACCTCTACACGCCACAGCGCAGATCCTACAGGGACACACGCTAATAGTGTATGCTTAAGTTCACTGGACGGCCATGGCATAGGAAAAAGGGATGGGTAATTGCCTGTTTATCCCAAGTGAAGGGAAAATTGAGTACAGGAACCCCTGCCTTCTCCCAGGAGTGGGTTTCACTGAGGCACTTGCTGCCTCATTCACTCATTCAATCCCCGCGGCCCTCACTCTGCCAGAAATAAAAAAGTGCTACTCCAGGAACCCTGCTGACAGCTGTCTCTCTAACACACAACCACACACACACACAGATGAAAGTGGCACACACGCAGAAACACAACAAGACCTAGGTGACTTGTTAACCTCCAGTGAAAGACAAAAAAGGGGCATAGAAACATATTCTCACAGCAGAAATGACACACTATTGATGCAAGTTGGAATAAAGTCTAACACAGACAATATGAATCTCCTGAAAACATTATTTTTTTAAGTCTATTGAAGAGGTCAGCAAGCTGACAGATTGATTTGAATTCAGTAGAATCATCACACATCACAATGTGCTCTTGTCACCAACCTCAGCTTCAGACTAACATGTTCCTTAGGTTCTGCTCTATATTGTCCATTTCTTAATCATCAAGTGCAGAGCTGTCTCACATACCAAAAAAAACTGAACATCAGAGGAAGAAGTTCCCCTACTACACCGTCCACTAACTACTTCAGGCTCTGTCAGAGTCTTGGATGGCTGCAGCTATGTCAGCAGAGGTTTAAGGGTCATGAAACAGGGCTGAAATAAAAAAAAATGCAAATGACTGTGCTGTCCCCAGCTGAACAGATAAGTACGGGATGCTGGAGAGGGAACTGGGTTTAAAAAGTGGTGAGGCTGGACCTTGCAGCAGTCACTTAACAAAGCAGGGTAAAAAGTTGAAGACAAAAGAAAAAAGCTCCCCAGGACAAGTTGCTAGGTTCTTCTTCTTTGCCTGTTGGAGAGCAGTCGATCCACCCCTCTCCTGTACACTCTGCTCTCCTCTCCTTTCTGTCTTCAGAGAAATCCAGTCTTTGAATTTCTTAGTTCTTTAACCACATGGGTCTGGGTGCACTGTGCTACCTAGTGGCCATGCTTTGGGACAGCAGGAACACATCACTTAGATTGCTCATCGGCCCAGACCGCTGGAGCGAATCTTAAATATTTGATAAGAGCAGCATCAGTCATCAATTATTCTGCAATTCTACCGAGCACACTGAGGATGAAAAGGATGGCAAAGGGCGGAAATGCCTGACCCGTTAATCGCTGTCCATTGTGTTCACGTCACAGAGTGATAGAGTAGAAGATGCGAGCTGAGAGAACGAGCGGTGACAACGCGTGCAACCTGTTCAGTTAATGTAGCTTATGGAACAAAGTGAGGTTAAAATATTTAACAGGATGTCATTAGAAATATGCAGTTAGATAAAAATTACACACGTGGGTTTGTATAGATGCTTCAGTCTCATGTCTTATGTTCTAAAAAGGATGCCCTCGTTAATTTGAACTGGAACCTGTGAAATGTCAGTTATCCTGAACAAAAAAAAATGCTGTAAATCCATAAAATGTTGTCCATTGTATTTTCAAATATATTTTACAGTCTTAAAGTATAAATAGCTTGAAGAGCTAGTGAACTTAGATTTTAACTTTCACTTGTTTTTTTTTTTGTTTTTTTTTGTGTGTGTGTGTGTATCTAATGCATTTGTGTCTGTGTCTTAAGAAGCCCGTGTTGCAGCACGGGCACTCAACAGCATTGCATGGCTACATGGTTGCACTGCAAAGAACAAACAGAGCAAAGGAGCTTGTGTCACTTTGGTGTTAAAGTGGTGATTTGGAAGCCTCACGAATACTGTATGTTACCCAAAGAGGTGTTCCCCATTAGCAGACAGACAGAAGGAAAAAAAAAGATCCTTTTTAAGAGACTTCTTTTTCTTTCTTTTAAGCCTTTCTTGTATTTGTTTCTGTATCATAACTGTCTATGGTTTTTGCATAAAATGCATAAGGGTTTTGGGATGTAAATGGAATTTTATTCATATTTTGTCCAAATACCTCTTGTAATTTGTATCAGAATTCTTGTACAATTTTTATATTAAAGATTTATCATTCACTGGCATTTTGTCATTGCATATTTTCAAAGGCGAAGGACGCATAAAGTCTTGTTAAAAATAGTATCAATTTTAAACAGTTATTTACCTAAAGTAGCTCGAATTAAGCATGCTACAAAGTGAAAAATGGCACCCCAGAAACAATGTGTCAATCAAGCCATTTTAACAAGACACTGTGATTTCAGCTTTACCACGCTCATTAATTACCCCATGATAAAAATCATTAGGGAAAAGGCTATCTTGACCAATTAGTAGACGATTAGATTAATAGAGTTAAATATGTACGGGCATGAGGAGAAGGTACTGCTGGTGTTAGCAAATTAAGTAAGATGGTCACTTAAAGAGAAAAATAAAAGACACACTGTAGCTTTGTCTGATCATATGCTGAAATTAAATTAAAAGAGAACAGCTGATGGAATTACTAATGGGCTGAAATACATAATAGAGCAGCTTAAAACTTAACGTAGAGAAGAATATTTACTTCTGTGAATGTGTACAACAGACAAAGGCAAAACATTTAAATGGCACAGCATTGGATAACCGATAGGAGCACTGGACAAATGCGGCGTTGTTTTGCACAAGCAACCTGTGCTGACATTTTCTGATGTGACCGAGGGTCGAATTACAAATTGATATGAGCTCCAGCAGGGATGTCGTGTTTGCTCTGGTAACCAACAAGAACATAATGCCTCCTCCCTCCCGTCTGTGAAAGTGCAGGAGTGACACAGGCCTTATTGACCTTGAATTAGACACCAGTCCTCTTTGTCACACACCAGCTCTTTGATTCCCTTGCTGTTAATAAGTGCACCACGCACATGCACTTTTCAGAATAATAGCTTTGAAATGTATTGATTATATGCAGAGTTAGTAAGTGATACCCACCTGCTTCTGACAGATATCCACCCATGTTTAACGCACACACACACACGCATGCGGTCCCTTTCTTGGTGATGATCTTTCACCATGTCGCAAAGAGGTCACTAGGCTGACTCCGCTACATAACTGAGCACATTTCCGGGCGCGACAGGCCATCGATTGGCCTGACAAACACAGCAGCCCTCTGCTAACCTTTGAGACGCAGAGACAGAAAGAGAGCCAGGGTGAGCTTAGCTGTGTCTAAACTGTAAAATGTGGAACAGCTGACAAGGCAAGGATGTCCATCACCTCATTTGTCTGTCTGACGATATAAATTGTGTGATTAATAATTAGTTAGTCCAGTGTGTAGCCAAATGCTTTGAGATTTCAAAGAAACCAGGCAGACATTTTAAAGCTGTCTAAGGTTGACTTTGGTTTTTAAGGGGTTATAAACATGTGCAAACCACATCTACTGTACATGGATGAATATAAACACTGATTTTTTTTCCATTTTCCAACCACCAAATACCAGAGGAAATTCAAATGACTTAGGTATGACTCTGTGTTTTACGTGTCTTTTCAAAGATGCAATGAAAATTTCTGCATGTGGTTCACCGGGTTTCTGGTTTGTCACACTCGAATGTCTTTGGACTGTGGGAGGTTGTCTAAGATGTCAGAGGGAACCAACCTTAACACAGACAGAACATGCAAACGCCACACATTAAAGGTTTGGTAGAAGAGTCAGGATTCAACAATGTTCTGGTTGTGTGGCAGCTAGCTGATAGATGATATGTGCACTATCACTGACAGTAACATTCGAGGCAGAAAAATGATGCAGTACAGTTACACGTGTAGCCAAATTGATATTCATGCTTTTATCAGGTGATTGTTTTATATTTATTTATATATTCAGC